AATAAATATATGGAGGAAAAAGTCCATTCACTGGAAATATCTAAGTTCTCCATCACACGTCCCTGTGCCGATTTTCAATTTCTGCAATTCGTGAATCCCCATCTTAACTTGAATGCATATCTTTGAGTGTAGTACGGATTAGGACTCCTGCTCAGTTCCTCTTCAATAGCCAACTTGAAGCTGCGATATACTGAAATTGAACAGATAACCACTCAAAGGTCAAGATCACTCAGCACTTTAAATAAGCGAAATGCAAGATCCTGGCACTAGGCGTACGCTCTGCCATTTGGCGAATCAGTCGCCAGTCGGTTGGTCAGTCGGTCACTAGCTATTGGTACTGTACGCGTGTGCCGCGGCTGATCGATATTAACTCATATCTTGATAAAGGGGGTGATATAAGTGGAATAAGTGATCTTATCGCGGTCTACATGGTGTACTCAATAGCCAGATGGCAGTATTCCTCAGTGGAGGGGGGCAAGTTGCAAGCTGTGGCTCAGAGTGCACCGTTGGTGCAGCTGCATGGTACGTGATTGTCTCCACTAAAGAATTGCAGTTTGTTGCTCCTTCTTGTAGCACCATCATCACAACCCTCAATGCTGCAGCCAAATTCATGGGCTCAAGTGCAACTTCTACTGACGTGGACATCTTCAATGATAAATGAGGCAGGTAGTGCTAATGCAAAGGATCACGCTCCCATCTTTATAGTAGGCAGTAGTCATAATTACTGAAATATTCTGGTAAATGGATTCACATTCAAGAAAACAAGTAAAACGAGAACGGTCCATAAGAAGATCACAACAGATGCATTCAAGAAATGCGATTCAAGCAGCAGTCTGGACCATAACCACGGTCGCCGATTCGCCTGCTGGGCACCTGGACCACGATATATCAGCTGGAAAAATTAACGTGTTATTAATATTTTATTATTTTATTAATTCCCCCCTAATATACTGGCAGTGCACCATTATATTTTCAACATATTATGTGTTGCTAGTTGTCAGATCAGAAGTAACATGTCCTCGACAGAAAACGGCGTCATTCAACAACGCAAAGATTCTCGTTGAAGACAATGTTGAGGCAGCTTTTGAAGGCAGTTTGAACAATGTAGAGAATCAACGTAGCTCAGTGAAACCGTCACAGTAAGAGAAATCTGTTGTACTCATCACG